TTGACTGGGAGTCTGCTGACACCAGTCCTCTTTCCTTTGATGGGGTCAAAGGGTTGGTTTGCAATGGGTTTACATAAACCACCAGTTAGTTTGAACTGTTATCTTAACATAATACAGTCAATTGCATTATATATAAGGTATATCAGTAAGATGGGGCTCTTGCAGTGCAGTGGTAGTGTCCCTACCTCTAAGCCAGGATCCCCAGGTTCATGGGTGGCACAGTGGCTCAGTGGTTAGCACTGCTGCGTCACAGCACCAGGGACCTGGGTTTGATTCCACCCCCAGACAACTGTCTGTGTGGAGTTTGCACATTCTCCCCGTGTCTGCGTGGGTTTGCTCCGGTTTCCTCCCACAGTCCAAAGATGTGCAGGCTAGGTGGATTGGCCATGCTAAATTGCCCGTAGTGTTCAGGGATGTGTAGATTAGATGGGTTATAGGGGGGTGGGTCTGGCTGGGATATCTGAGGGTCGGCGTGGACTTGTGGGCCGAAGGGCCTGTTTTCACACTGTCATAATTCTACATAATTAAAAAAAAGATCCACTGACCCCAATGTTATGGGGAGTTGGTTAGCTTGGTTGGCAATGCAGAGTGATGCCAACAGCATGGGTTCAATTCCTGCACCAGCTGAGGTTACCATGAGGTACTGTCCTTCTTAACCTCTCCCCTCACCTGAAGCATGGTGACCCTCAGGTTAAACCACCACCAGTCATCTCCCTGTGATGGAACTTTGATGATTTATCTCCAAAAGTGTTTCATGACAGGTTGGCTAAGGCTATCTATACAAGTACAATAAACATGGTTAATAAGATTTTGAGAAGACCTGCATAAGATCCTAAAATAAAACAACAGTGTGGAGCTGGATGAACACAGCAGGCCAGACAGCATCAGAAGAGCAGGAAAGCCTACATTTTGGGTCAGGACCCTTCTTCAGAAATGGGGGAGGGGGAAGAAGAAGAGTCCTGACCTGAAACGTCAACTTTCCTGCTCCCCTGATGCTGCCTGGCCTGCTGTGTTCCTCCACCTCCACACTTTGTTATCTCCAGCACCTGCAGTTCTTACTATCTCTGAGTGAGATCCTAAAATGTTTTGCCTTGCCCAAGCCAGGATGACATTGTCAGTTTGTGTGGAGCTTAATTCAGTTTCCAAACCTTTTAGAAGCTTCAATTGCTTTATACAACAGGGAAGACTTCCTCATATTGAAGCACAAGGCTTCACTAGGCTCCTTTCTAGCCTGCAGTTATAACTGTGATGATTAACTCTGGTTTTGTTGTAATATTAACAATATTTAGAATGTTACATGCACTGCATGCCTCATCAGATCCATAACTTGAACCATCGATTCACAAATGTACAACATCAGATTGTTACAAACTTAATGTGTGCTGAGTTGATGCAAATGTTTATGTATGTGTGTGTGTATGGGACTGTATGCATGTAGGGAGAAGATAAACTAGTAGAAGGTGCACGTTCTTTCTGCAAATAAAGGCTATTTTCAAAATGTTGCTTCAGCTTTTATTTCATGGAAACCTCACGGGTTGTGTGCAAAACTTATCAAAATATCAGCCGTGCAAATGCGGTCAAATTGTTGGCGTGATTTTGCACGATTCAAAATACAGGCCAACTTATTCCATCAAATCGTGACGAAATCCCACCTCACTTTAACAGAAAATGTACAATTATTCCTCATACGTTAAACTCCCCAAGGAGTTGATGGTGTGCAAGCAAACCTGCAATTAAATTCACAATGAAGTAGAACAAAGTTGGGGGTGGAAGAGGAAATGTTTTAGTTTAGAGACGAGGTGAATTGCTTTTGTGTGAAATGCATTTGTGGTGTTCCAAACAGCTTGTTAACCTTGAGGAAGCATTTAGATGGGTGGAGAGAGAGGGAGATAAAGGAACATGGGAACTGGGCACACTCTTGGGATTAGGTACCGTTGATGCAGAGAGGAAGCATTAATGCAGACTTCTTAGCGAACGTTTATCTAAACCCAATTTGCCTCATAGCTCCAGATGCCCTTACGGGGCTAGAATCAGCAATGTACCCACTGGTTTTAAACAAGCACAAAATTGGCACATTTGTGTGACCAGGCAATGTCTCCAGACTTCAGGCTGTGTTCAGAGAAAATGGTCTCCAACTCTACCCCTGCTTTCTTGCTGCCAGAAGGCAACCATTCAAAGTTCGGCTGTAGGGCCGGACGTTATTTTCACTGCCAACAGGTGAGATGGCACCAGGTTGGCAGAACATCGTCACCATGCCGACCTCCAAATCACCCAATGCAAGTTATGAAAACTAATTAACCAGTGACTGTGTTTGCTGACAACCCAATCACCTGCAGTTTTAGTTTCTTAATTTCAACATCCCGCCGCACCGGCTCGTGCATCAGAAGTGGGGGAGCGTTGTGGGCAGCGTGAGGGGAGTTGAAAGTGTCTACCACCTGGACCATGGTAGCAGACTCTGCTTGGAAAGGTTGCAGCATCCAAATGATAATCTAATTTGTTCACATTTTCAGAAATTAAGAAAGACTCAGAAAGCCAAGGGGCCCTTTAAACCTACAGCTGTGATCGGCAATTTCTCCTCCCCCGCCCCAGCTGATTGACCTCCTGGCCTACTGTCCTTGTTGGACATTGAGCCCTACCCCACCCCCCAACCTTTCCACTCCTCACTAATGGGCCTCCTTACTGCTGGGTGGCTACCAGCTGACCTTCTAAGGCTTGGTGGACCACGACTGTGCGAACAGACTACTTAGATTTCATTCCACCTCCCTCACCCTGCTGAGAAATGTAAAATCACACCTGGCATACCTACCGAGGAACTATTTTGTACTAGCCAGAGGTCTTTGCCTTTTCCCCAAATAGAAAGTGGCACAAGAATTAGCCTAAAGATGCAAGATAACAAAATTCTGCCTGAGCCTCGATCTCATTGAATGGCAAAGCAGCCTTGATGGGTTGAATGGCCTGTTTCTGCTCTGACATCTTACGGTCACAGCCCTGTGAAAAGCTGGTGAGATCAGAATTGGACTCTGTCTGTGCTGCCCATCGCAACGGACACTGTTCTTGCATGAAGAATTGATCAGATCTTAAAATCTGGTCCCAGGAAGAACTAGGAGAGAAGAATAATAAGCAGAAAGATGAGGGGTGGCCTGATAGAGGTCTACAAGATTATGAAGGGTGTGGACAGTCAGAAGCTTTCTTCCAGGATGGAAGAGTCAGTTACTAGGGGCATAGGTTTAAGGTGCGAGGAGCAAGGTGATGTACGAGGCAAATTTTTTTACACAGACGGTAGTGGGTGCCTGGAACTTGCTGCTGGGGGAGGTAGTGGAAGCAGATACGATAGTGACTTTTAAAGGGCGTCTTGACAAATATATGAATAGGATGGGAATAGAGGGATATGGTCCCCGGAAGGGTAGGGGGTTTTAGTTGTGCCGGGCAGCATGTTGGTGCAGTCTTGGAGGGCCGAAGGGCCTGTTCCTGTGCTGTAATTTTCTTTGTTCTTTGTTCTATAACCTAGAAATGAATCGTGATAATGCTCATAGACAAATCTGCCTCTCAGCGACATTCGCAGGATTAACATGGGCAATAGTACCTTGGAGATTGTGGATTCACAGTAAACATTCAACCATTAATATATTCTGGGTTTATGACTATTTTTAAGCGCAAAGCATGATTTGCATTTACATAGCACCTTTCACCACTTTGTGCAATCCCTAAGCACTTTCCAATCAATCGAGTATTTTCTGAGCTGTAATGATTGCTGTGTCATGAAAAAATGCTGCAACCAATTTGCCCACAGCCAGCTCCCTCAAGCTGCAATACAATAAATTGGCAAATATAAATATATATTTTTATTGATGTTTCTTAAGCGTTTAATATTGACCAGGATTTTAGGTGGGCACTGTTCTGTTAAATAGTGCTGTACTGTTTATCTGAGAGACAGGGGATGGAATGTCAGTTTAACATCTCATCTGAAAGACACCTTCAATCCTGTGCAACTGAGAGCAAGTTCAAGTCTCTGGAATGGGACCTGGAATTGTCCCCCAGCCCTTATCATTTTTGTTTTGGTTTCTGTCATGTTTTGAAATAACAGTGGGAAGTGCACACGAAGCTCCACACACAACTCACCAGTTATTAATGGATTTAATGTCCCTAAAATCTTGAAGATAGAGTCAGATGAAATTCTGTATTGCAGTGTTTCTGAAATACTTTCCCTGTATAACCCAGTTTGAAAATTGTTGGGACCCTTCAGCAAGACTGGAGAGAGTTGGGGCAGGGGGCAAGGTGGAAAGGCTTTAAGTGGGGGGAGGGAGAGGATGTTTAGATAGCTGTTATAACTTGTCCAGATTTCCATAATGACATTGCTGTTTCAGAGCTCCCAACTAGAATATTTCAACCGGCGATCACACTTGGGGACTTCAGACCCCACCTTTGGAAGGCGTGCGTGCGTGCGTGTCTGTGTGTGTGTGTGTGTGTGTACACGTGTGTGCATGTGTTTGTGTGTGTACGTGTTTGTGTGTATTCACACATATGTGCACGCATGCCTTTGTATCTGTGTGTGTGTGTGTGTGTGAGAGAGAGAGAGTGTGTTTGTGTGTGTGTCTGTGTCTGTGGGAGTGTGTGTGTGTATACACATGCTTTTGTATATATATATGTGTGTGTGTGTGTCTGTGTTCTGTGCCTGTGGGAGTGTGTGTGTATGTGTGTGTGTGTGTGTGTGTATACGTGTGCCTTTGTATGTACGTGCGTGTTTGTGTGTGTGTCTGTGTGTATGGGAGTGTGTGTGTATGTGTTTGTGTGTGTGTGTATTCGCGTATCTTTGTTTGTATATGTGTGTGTATATGTGCTTTTTTTATTGTAACTTGGTGAGATGTTATTAGACGAGCATCGTATAAAATCCCTGCTTCCCTAAGTATAATTCAGTGTAGCCTATGGTTATGAGGTTAGCTTTGTTTCGTAAACAAGCCAGAGACTGTGTCTCATTGAGAGGTTTGTGTGCTTTCTTGCAGCTGTTAAGTTTGGTCGGATGTCCAAGAAGCAGAGAGACAGTCTGTATGCTGAGGTACAGAAACATCGTCTGCAGCAACAACAGCGAGACCACCAGCAGCAGCCTGGTGAAGCAGAGCCCCTGACCCCAACGTACAATGGGCTGACAGAACTGAACAATGACCTCAGCAATCTTTATATGGATGGGCACACGCCAGAAGTGGGCAAAGCCGACTCAGGAATGAACAACTTCTATCTGGACATTCAGCCATCCCCAGACCAGTCCGGTCTAGACATCAATGGTATTAAACAGGAGCCGATATGTGAATACGCAGCGGTCCCTGACTTCTTTCCCTACTGCTCCTTCACAAACGGTGAAAGCTCTCCCACTGTCTCAATGACAGAACTAGGTAAGCTACACTCCTGTAGAAAAGGCAGGTATAACGACAAAAAATCTCTTTCTCGTTCACTGGACGTGGGCATCTCTGGCTGTATCTATGACCCATATCTAAATGCCCTCACGGAAAGATGTTCTAAAGAGAGCTGCAAATGCAGGGGGTGGTGATAGCATAGCGGTATTATTGCTGGACTATTAATCCAGAGACTCCAATAATGCTCCGGGAATCCGGGTTCAAATTCCTGCTACAACAACTGGTGGAATTTGAATTCAATAAAAATATGGAATTATGAGTCTAATGATGCCCATGAATCAATTGTTGGGGAAAAGCCCCTCTGGTTCACAAATGTCCTATAGGGAGGGGAAGCTGATAGTCTGACCTACATGTGACTCCAGACCCACAGCAATGTGGTTGACTTTTAAACTGCCCTCTGGACAATTAAGGACGGACAAAAAGTGCTGGCCTAGGCAACGATGCCCTCATCCTGTGAACAAAGGAAAAAAATAAAAAGGAGCGTTAGAACAATAGGCCCACCAAGTTCATGAACTCATTGGATGTTCAAACGGCTGGTCCCAGATACATTGGCAATGGTGGAAGGTTCTGACCGGGGAGAAGGAGTCTTTGGAGATTCAGTACTTTTCTGCATTTCTCCCATGGCATGGATGATGACTCTGTGTCTAAACACTGCTGCATCCCACCCAGGGATTTGTACCATGGAGGGCCTGTTCAAAAGACTACATTCCAAGAGTTATATTGTTCTCCTTTCAGAAAGGTTTCACCTTGAGTCGAGATAGAATTTATATCCGTTGCTATTTTGACGTTAAGGTAATTTGTGTGAATCCAAAGTCTGCACACAGGGCCAGCCAAATATCAACAGGTAATAGGGGAAGCAAAGAAATTGTTGGCCTTTATTTCAAAGGTAATGGAGTTTAAAAAAAATAGATGTCTTGCTGAACAATTCAAGCCATTAGCTTAACCACACCAAGAATACTGTGAAGAGTTTTGATCTTGTTGGAAAGATATTGGCATTGGAGTCACAGCAGAGAAGTTTCACCAAATTGATCCCAGTAGGGAAGGATTTGTCTTATGAGGAGAGGTTGAGTAGATTGGGTCCTCTTTCGGCACAGTGGTAGTGTCCCTACCCCTGGATTGGGAGCCCAGGGTTCAAGACCCACCTGCTCAAGAGGTGTGTAATAACATCTCTGAACAAGATGATTGACAAAGTAGGTTAAGTTTTATTTTAATTTAGATTGGGCACGTATTCATTGGAGTTGAGAAGAATGAGAGGAGACCTTGTATTATCGTATAAGATTTTTAGGGGGCTTGACAGGGCAGAATACAGAGCAGTTCTTTTCCCTTGTGGGACAGGGCATAACCTCAGAATAAGGGGTTACCCCTTAGATGAGAAAAATTTCTGTTCTCTGAGGGTAGTAAATCTGTGAAATCCTTTATTACAGACAGCTGTCAAGGCTGGGTCATTAGGTATGTTCAAGGCTGAGGTAGACAGATTCTTAATTAGTGAGGGAATCGAAGGTTATGGAGAAAAGGCAGGGAAGTGGAGATGAGGGTTATCAGATCGGCCATGATCTCATTGAATAGCAGAGCACTCTCAATGGGCTGAATGGCCTACTTCTGCTCCTACGTCTAATGGTCTTCGTGATTAATTTGCTGCACCAGATAAAACAATGTCAGATGCTACTCTGCTGAGCCATCTTCTGCTAGCCCTGTCTCATCCACCCTTACCTCCAACAACCAAGTGTGAGGAGCTCATGGCCTTCCAATTCATCTGATGTTGGAAACTGTCCATTCTTCTGCCTCTGTCAACTTTCCCTCATTTTACTCCTATTTCCCTTCAATCTCACTCCATGTGACCTTTTGCCTCTATGATCTTATTTCCATCAAACTCCCGACAGCTCAATTTCTCTGATGCTGCCCTTGTTACAATATTCCCCCGTTGCATTTCTGACAGGTAAACATCCTCCTCTATTTCAGGTCCCTGTTTCAGTGGCCTCTCTTGCATTGTTCTATCTGCCTGCTATGAAGTCATGTCATGTTAAAACATTCCAATTACCCCACCCCAACACCTCTTCCTGGTAAATCTCTCTCTCATGCTGGTACATCGCCCTCAGTTGCAGCATGCATTGTTACACTGGAACGGATTTCTTTAAAATAGTGACTGGGACTTGGATGCGGAAATCTCATCCCCATTTCTGACAGGTGCCATTTCTGCCAACAGGAGAAAACTGTGGGGTATGACTCACACAGCGGGGGCAACTCTCATCCAGAACGGCCTTTTGTGCTTGAACTTAGTGCTGAGTTCAAACAAATCCAATTCTGGCTGTTGTGAAGGATTTAACCCTTGTGTGGGAGTCACAAATTGATGCTGTAGTTGTAAACAGACTTAAAAGAGTTTCTAAGTTCCATTTCACTATCATGATCTGAAGCACTGCCTGCTTTTTTATGTTTTACTTAATCTATATTTCTAATCAACCTGTTCAGAGATGTTATTACACACCTCTGGAGCAGGTGGGATTTGAACCCTGGCATCTGATCTGAGGGTGTTACCACTGCACCACAAGAGGGCCCTCTCCCGCTCTTTCCTTTTATTTAACCTATTTTTCTAATCAACCTGTTCACTGATGCTATTACACCCCTTTGCACCAGGTGGGATTTTAAACTCAGTCTCCTAGTCCAGGGGTAGGGGATACTACCACTGCATCACAAGAGGGTGTAACATGTAACTGAGCAGTTTCACTAGTTAATTTGCTTAATAGGGGTGGCACGGTGGCTCACTGGTTAGCAGTGCTGCCTCACGGTGCCAGGGACCTGGGTTCAGTTCCAACCTCGGGTGACTGTCTGTGTGGAGTTTGCACATTCTCCCCGTGTCTGTGTGGGTGCTCCGGTTTCCTCCCACAGTCCAAAGATGTGCAGGGCAGGTGGATTGGCCATGGAAAATTGTCAGTGGTGTTCAGGGATGTTTAGGTTCAGTGACTTAGCCATGGGGAAATCAGGGGTAGGGGAATGGGATGCCCTTCAGAGGGGTGGTGTGGACATGTTGGGCCAAATGGCCTGTTTCCACACTGTAGGGATTCTAAAGGCTACAGGTAGTTGGCTGATTGTGTTACAAGTTATCTCAGCTGTGTTAAAGTTGTGATTACAATCTTCCAGAGGCCGTGAACAATTGGGAGTGAGAGCAGATGCTTGTTTTTAATGTGAGTTGAAGTTTTGATGCATTCATGTGTAGGAATTTTCAAATCTGTCTAGTGAGTTATATGTTAGATTTTTAGAAGTTTATTTAGTTTTCATCTCCTGAGGTCTGCCTCAGGAGGAAATTAACTGAATTGGCACTCACTTGGCAAGGAATATATGAGAGACAATAGGAGGGTGAGTGGGGCATGCATTGGTATTGAATTAGCATTTCAAAAATGTATTCGCTTGTTGCTGGCTGGGTCAACATTTATTGCCCATCCATAGTTGCCTCTGAGGAGGTGGTGGTGAGCTGTTTTCTGCAGAGGGGATCAGAAGCCGTGAGAGCTTGTTGAGGGTATGAGGGCTAAAGCATCCAAAGTCTTCTAAAACAGTCTAAAGTCTTCTAAAGTTTTCTGAAGAAGGGTCTAGGCCCGAAACGTCAGCCTTCCTGCTCCTATGATGCTGCTTGGCCTGCTGTGTTCATCCAGCTCTACATCTTATTATCTCAGATTCTCCAGCATCTGCAGTTCCTACTATCTCTAAAGTCTTCTGAAAGCCCCTGAGAATGCAGAAGGAGCTGCTAAACAGCTCACTGCTCGCCAGCCAGTTCCTGAATTCTCCTAACATCTGCTCCCAGAGCCCAAATTCATCCCGCACCCACACTCTTTTCTGGTGCAAAATCCTTTCTTTCTCTGAGCCATACTTTATCAAGTTGGCTTCGACGCGTCAGGAATTTCTCAACTCGAGCTGCTTGCCTCGGTAACCAAAGTCTGCCCCACTACTCCTGTCATGTTATATTTCTCAGTCGCTGTGGCGGTGGTACACAGCCATCTCACTGTGCTGAAAATTTAATACTTTTGGATTTTTCAGCTGGAGAGATATTTGAAACAAGAGAACATACCAGCCTCCAAGGAGATTGCAATGTTAGGATTCGTTTTTGATCGATACGACAATCTAGAGATGGTAGGAACCAGCAAGGGATTAGTAGGTTAGCTCTGGTGGTTAGCTCTGCTGCCTCACAGTGCCAGGGACCCATGTTTGATTCCAATCTCAGAAGACTGTCTGTGTGGAGCTTGCACATTCTGCGTGGGTTTCCTCCAGGTGCTCCAGTTTCGTCCCACAGTCCAAAGATGTGCAGGTTAGGGTGGATTGGCCGTGCTAAATTGCCCCATAGTGTCCGGGGATGTGCAGGCTAGGTGGGTTAGCCATGGGAAATTCAGGGTTACAGGGATAAGATGGGTGGCTAGGTCTGGGTAGGATGCTCTTTGGAGGGTCAGTGTGGACTGAATGGCCTGTTTCCACACTGTAGGGATTCTATGATTCACTGCTCCGATCATGTATGATACTAGCTTCACTATGATACAGTAACCCACAGCAGCACCTCGATAGGTGTGTGGATGTCTCTTTAACAGTTGGAACTTAGGATGCATCCAGTTGTCAACCAATGAGGCTTGCTTAGTCTTTTCATACGTAGAACTGCTGCTACCAGCAAAATACCCTCTGCAAATAACTTTCCAGTCTTTCAAGTCTCTGATTATAATGTGCTTAAATTGTTGATCCTAATGCTAACTGTAACCCTCTGACCATTTGTTGCTTTTATTGATTGTACATAAATATGTTGAATGTTTTGCCCTGTAGAGCACCTTGCACAGAACATCTCCAAGTCCCACATTGAGACCTGCCAGTACTTGCGGGAAGAGCTGCAACAAATAACATGGCAGGCCTACGTGCAGGAAGAAGTAGAGATTTACCAGAATAAGGTAAGGGGAAACAAGGGTGCCAGATCAAACGGTGAGTACCACAGTGACACGTGTGAATTCTCTCCGCCATATACCCACCTTCACACGTTAATCTTTCTCACACAGCCCCGGGAGGTGATGTGGCAGCTTTGCGCTATTAAAATAACTGAAGCAATTCAGTATGTGGTGGAGTTTGCAAAACGGATCGATGGATTCATGGAACTGTGTCAAAACGATCAGATCGTACTTCTGAAAGCAGGTACTCTTCCTCGTCAAAGACACGCCCTTTATAAGTTTATACAGGCCTTTTGTTTTCTCCAGGAAAGAGAAGATTGAGAGCGCTTCAGCAGTTTAGAAGACACTTAGATAAGTACATGAGTAGGAAATGTTTGGAGGGATATGTGCCAGGAGCAGGCAGGTGGGACTAGTTTAGTTTGGGATTATGGTCGGCATGGACTGGTTGGACCGAAGGGTCTGTTTCCGTGCTGTATGACTCTATGACTCTGATAGAAAGGTATTTGGTAGGATTAAAATGCAACAATGGGTAAAGTTTAATGCCCTCTGAAGTGGGGCAGGTTTAGGTGGGGAGTGGATGGTTAATTTGGTGGGAGATGGTCAATGGGGACCCCCAACATCTACCCACCTCCCTTCTTGATATAATCAGTCCACCCATCCCACAGTGAAGTGGGTAGTTAATGCCGACAGAATGGCTTCAACCAACCTCAAATGTTTTTCTCCATAGAGAAAGGCCAAAGTGTAACCCAGCCTGTTAGCTTACAGGCTTCGAAGTGGGCCTTCATTTGAAAGCACTTACTGCCTGATGGAGGGGCCTAGCATCGGGACCTCACCCAGCCTTGTTGCCAATTCCCACACCCGCTTTTCTACAACTCCCAGCCATCTTCAGTCATAGAATCCCCCACAGTGTTGAAACAGGCTATTCAGCCCACCAAGTCCACACCAACCCTCTGAAGAGCACCCCACCCAGACCTACTCCCCTACCCTATCCCTGTAATCGTGCATTTCCTGTGGCCAATGTGCCTAACCTACACACCCCTGGACACTACGCATAATTTAGCACGGCCAATCCACTTAACCTGCACATCTTTGGACTGTGGAATGAAACCGGAGGAAGCCCATGCAGACACAGGGAGAATGTGCAAACTCCACACAGAGAGTTGAGCAAAGGTGGAATTGAACCTGGGTCCCTGGCGCTGTGAGGCAGCAGTGCTAACCACTGAGCCACTATCCCATCACCTGTGAGCTGGATTTCTTGTTGATTCTTGGACTCTGGTGGGTGCATTTCCCACAGCTGGCACTGCCTGCAATGGGAGGCTATCTGTCTCTGGTTCTCTGGCAGCTCCCTTGGACAGGATTCCATTCCCTGTTGAGTGGGGGTGGGCTCATTGACTCCTGAAGCACTTGATACCATTGGCTATCCAGTGAAGAATTGCATTAAAAACGGAGTGTCATTTTACTTGTGAGAGAGGCCAAACAGAGACCATGAATAGAAAGGTAATCATGATTAACTCCATTCGGGAAGTCAAAAATACTACTTTCATCTCATAAAGTCATAGAGCACAGAGAGGTCCTTTGCTCCATTGAGTCTACACCAACAAAAACCACTTGAAATCTACACTCGTCCCACTTGCCAAAACTTGGCCCATAGCCTTGAATGTTTAAAGTTCCCATTCAAGTATTTTTCAAAACGTATGAGGTTTTTAGCCTATACTACCCCCACTTCCTTCCGGATGAAAAATGTTTTGTTTTCCTCAAATCCCCTCTCAACCACCTGCCCCTCACCATAAATTAAGCTCCTTTGTTATTGATCCCTCAACTAAGAGGAACAGTGGCATTCTCTCCACCCAGTTCATGCTTCTCACAATCTTCACACCTCAACCATGTCCTCCCAACCGCCTCAACTTTCTCTCTTCCAAAGAAAATAACCAGAGCTTATCCAACCTCTCTTCATTGCTGAAACGCTCTATTCCAGGCAATGTCCTGGTGAATCTCCTCTGCACCCCCTCCAGTGCAATCATATCCTTCCTATTGTGCGGTGACCAAAACTGCACACAGTACTCCAGTTATAGTTGAAGAGTGGTGAAACTGTAAAGTATAGAAGTATTGAAGTAGTTGAGATAAATACAATCAGTATATTTATTGGGAAACTAGGTCAACATGTGAGAAAGAAAATAATGAATAGTTAGGTCGATAGGGTTATGGTTAATAAGATTAGGCTGATAGGGTTAGGTTTGGAATCCCTACAGTGTTGAAACAGGCCATTCAGCTAATAGATTCCACACCAACCCTCCAAAGAGCATCCAACCCAGACCCACCCCATCCCTGTAACCTGGCAGTTCTCAGGGCTAACCCACCCAACCCACATCTCTTTGGACTGTGAGAGGAAACCCACGAGGGGGAGAATGTGCAAACTCCACACAGACAGTTGCCCAAGGGTGGAATCAAGCCTGGGTCCCTGGTACTGTGAGGCAGCAGTGTTAACCACTGAGCCACATGCTGCCTGACACTGTTTAGAGTTAGGCTATCAGTAGTATCGAGTTTAGGATTAGGTGCTTGGGTTAGCTCAATTCGCCTAATATCTGGTTTGCAAATGCAGAATATTCCCTACAGCATGGGTTCAATCCCCCACTGGCTGAGGTTAGCATGAAGGATACTCCTTCTCAACCTCTCCCCTCACCTGAGGCAGGGTGACCCTCAGGTTAAATTACCACCAGTCGTCTCTCTCTAATGAGAGCATGGTCCTATGATCTGGTAAGATGACTGGGAGTTTGCCTGAGACATTAGAGTTTGGGTGAAGTTGATCAGTTTAAGTGAAGATGCGTATGAAACAGTCCATCTGATGCATAAACAATTCGGCCTGTTATTTTTTGCTGTGAGTTCCAACAAAGACCTCAATGACTCATGACTTTATGAAATATTCTCCACGTTCGCAGGTTCTTTAGAAGTTGTGTTTGTCCGAATGTGTCGAGCCTTTGACCCGCAGAATAACACAGTTTATTTTGATGGCAAATATGCTGGTCCCGATATCTTCAAATCATTAGGTAAGGTATAAATATCCCTGACTCTTCGAGAACAAATCAATTCTTTTAAAGCATTGTTTAATATTCTAATCCTTTCAGCATTTCATGTGTTCAAAATCACATGGAGCAGTTCTAATTTTCAGTGTTCCTTGTTAGTCAAATATCTCCACTTGTGGGACAATCTGGGATGAGACATCGTAATATTAGGATAAGGGGTGGGTGACAAATTTAACAGAGATGAGGAGGAGTCTTTTCTCTCAAAGGGTTGTGAGTCTGTAGAATTCACCGCACTGGAGTGTGATGGATGCTGGGACGTTGGATAGATTTAAGGAGGAAATGGGATAGATTTGTAATAACTAATGGGTTGGAGAGTTATGGGGGAGCAGGCTGGTAAGTGGAGTTGAAGCCGACGTGAGATCAGCCACAATCAAAAATTAATGGTAGAGCAGGCTCAAGGCCTACTCCTGCTCCTCCTTGTGTTCTTATGTATCCCCTAGCTGAATAACCCCTTCTCTCTGAACATGAATACCTCTGCCTCCATTCCCCTATCCTCTGACTGCCCATTCACTCACTCACTCATTTATTCATTGACCCACCCACTCACTGAAAAGCTCAAAACCTGTAAGAACATAGCCAAATATGACAAGCCAATGTCATGGAAATGGGGTGCGTCCTGCCTCTTTGACAGTCTTTTCGTGACTTTCCCATCTTCCCCATGGATGACCGCTCTGAGCCACCCTTGCTTCCAAAGTCCCAGTTGAATGTACATTTTCATCGGTACTAACAATACATCATCATCATCATCGGTGGTCCCTCGCAGACAGGGATGACTCTCTTCCACCTCTCAGGGTGAGTCTGTAGGTGGCTATACAGATCGATGGGGCTACCGCAGGCTCTGTTACACTTGGGGCAGGAGATGGTCGCGGGGAAGGGGGGTGGGTGGGGCAGGAGGTGGTCGCGGGGAAGGAGGTGGTCGCGGGGAGGGGGGGGGGGGGCATCGGTGTGACAGAACGCTCCTTACATCCGGCTTCTGCTTTCTCCCAACGACAAGTCTCGAGGTGCTCGACGCCTTCCTGGACGCTCCTCCCCCTCCACTTTGAACGGTGTTGGGGCCAGTGATTCCCAGGTGTCTGTGGAAATGCTGCACTTCACCAGTGAGGCCTTGTGGGTGTCACTGAAACATTTCCTCTGTCCCACTGGGGCTCACATGCCGTTTCAGAGCTGGGAGTAAAGCACTTGCCTGGGGAGTCTCGTGTCCATTATACGGACGACATGCCCATTGCAGCTGATCAAGGGGGGTCGGTGCCTTGGAGCTGGGGATATTGGCCTGGTCGAGGACACTGGGGCTGGTGAGTCTGTCTTCCCGGGGATTCACAGGGTCTTGCACAGGCAGCGTTGGTGGTACAGCTCCAGTGTATTGAGGTGCCTGCTGTAGACAGTCCATGTCTCTGGGCCATACAGGAGGGTGGGACCAAACACAGCTCTGTAAGATATGATCTTGATGTCAGACCTGATATTGTGGTCCTCAAACACCCTTTTCCTCAGGCAGGGCTGAAGGCTGTGCTAGCACACTGGAGGTGGTACTGGATCTCTTCATCAATAACAATATACACAGCCAACGAGAAGATCTGGGTCCAGACTTCCTGGGCAAGGAAAATCTCTATCTCCAATGGTGCAGCCTCCAATTATCTCTAATATTCATCTGCCATAGTTCCATAAGTGAAAGACATGAGGCTTGTTGCAATGTGAAAATACTATTAATATATATCTGATTCATCAGTCTCAAGGGAATATCTGTAGGTTCAAGTGTATTATAGCGCAACCTTACAGGACAGAGTCCACTGTAACTGGTGGAAAGAGCCAATGAATTTTTCTCTCTGACAGCTATGGGTTGAAGTGAAAATTAAGTGTGGCCAGTTTAAAGGCAGTTTCTACTGATTGCAACAAAGTTATCCCAGGAGCTCAAGGCAGGCATGAGAAATAAATGCCTCCATAAAGTACCAAGGCCAAGCCACAGGCTCCATTTTAACAGTTATTTTAAATCTGGATGTGCGATATTAGTCAACAATTTCAGTATTTGTAACTCACAGGCTAATCCAATTACACCACTTGCAATCAAAGTGACTGTGTGGCAATTGTCTGAGGGACTTTGTGCATCACGGCTTTTCAAAGGCACCTCTGTTACCGTCAGTTTTAGGACTGTAGCTACATGGCAGAGAGCCTGTAACTCTGATGAACCCATGGGACTGGTACCATGTAGGAGCAATGGAAAGTGAAAGGCTAGTCTTTGTATTGCGGAAGGGGATTCACTTGGAGTACTTACAGTAATACCAATGTTGTCAGGCCAGTGAAAATTTTAACAAAGCAAGTACTTTATCTGGGCTATTCGTGGTACTGTCATCTCCCTCGCTGACTCGCAAATTCCACACGGGCATTCGCCTTCAGGAGAATGGGATGACCGGGGTAGACAATTGTCAAATGTTGTGATGTGATATGTAAGCACTTAAGGCCGTGGGATAATATGTGTTCAGGGCGGTGGGAAAGGATGGGGTGGGGGAAAGCAGAGGGCTTTAACATCCAGCTTCAGACACACTCAGGTTATCTGAAAGAAGCCCGGATTAGTCTGACAGGCAGGTAAGCGATGGAGGGACCACATCCAAGTCAGAACCTTTCTTGTCGTTTCCTCCCCATTCCTCTCACTAAGGCACTACCATTCTGTACACTCTTGCTGCACATACTGAAGAACACTTAACCACGTCTTCAGTAACCCAATGACTAGCTCCATGATTGCCCTCACGTTTACATGGTTCTCGTTCTAGCTTTCCCTTGGCGTAGTGGTAGAGCTATTTCCTGTTGTCATGACCCCAGTCCTCAGAGGGTAGCCTACGCCTCCAAAGATGTAGGAACCCTTTTGTGAACAATGCAACAGGAACTATGACTGCTTTCAGAGTTTTTTAAACAGTTCGTTCATGGGATGTGGGGATTGGCCAACATTTATTGCCCACCCCTAATTGCCCAGGGGGCAGTTAAGAGTAAACCACATTGCTCTCTGTCTGGAGTCAGATGTGGGCCAGACAGGGTAAGGTCTGCAGATTTCCCTCCCTGAAGAACATTAGTGAACCAAATGGCTTTTTACAACAGTAGACAGTGTTCACATCTGCAGCATTAGACATGTTTATTTACATTCCAAAGGTTTTTTTTAATTAAATTCAAATTTAACATTTCCCCAGAACATTTATCCAAGGTTTTGGACTGCTAGCCCTGTAATATTGTCACTAAACCGCCACTTGTCCATATATTTTCCTCAGAGATGCAAGAAAGTCTTTGGGTTGCCACATGACAGCTGAGCATTAATAGAACATGAATCTCTTCTGATTGAATGATTGAGCTAATGTGCTTTGATTGCCATTTGTGTGAAGCCTGTGATTCCCTATGGGTCTGTGGGTCTGTGCAGTAAATGTGAGTACGCTCTGTATCTGACTGGCTTTACTGGGACCAAGTAGAGGCCTTAGCAAACATAGCGCCAATCGCTTGGGAGAGACAACATGTGAAATCGTGCAGGTGTCACCAGCAGATCCCGGGACGGAGGCAGAGATAAGTAAATTCAGGTGATGCTTTCCCACTTTCTCTAATGGGGGACGAGCAGGTCTTGTTCCTGAAGATGTCATTGTTGGAAGTATGATCCTCCTGAGACACTGGTTTTCTTTATATTGAGGAAGCTGATTCCCTTGGTGGTCTATCCTGGTGAAGAACATTGTCTCTTTCATGCTGCAGCTCTGTGATAGGCCCCTTTATCTTGTGTCGCTGCAGAGGAGATATTAGCTGTTGTCAGATGCGGCGATCATAAACAATCTGTCCTGGCCCACCCACGTTGATGTGATGGTCAAGAAGGCACAGCAACACTTCTACTTCCTCAGGAGGCTAAGGAAATTCAGCATGTCTGTAAAGACTCTTACCAATATAAATAGGTGCACTGCAGAAAGCATTCTACTTGGATGCAACACAGCAGGGTATGGGTAACCGCTGTGCCCAGGACCATAAGAAACTACAGAGAGTTGTGAACACAGCACAGTCTATCACGCAAACCAACGTTCTATCCATTGGCTCCATCTATATTTCTCACTGCCTTGGGAACGCAGCTAACATCATCAAAGACCCCTCTCTTCCAACCTCTTCTAACGGGCAGAAGATACGAAAGTTTAAATACATGTCCCAACAGGTTCAGAAGCAGCTTCTTCCCCACTGTTATCACCCTTCTAAATGGACCTCTCAAATTTTAAATTTAATGTGGATCTTGCTCTTTATGCACCTTCTCTGCAGCCGTAACATTGTATTCCTCGCTCTGTTCTATTATCCGAATGCTCATTGTATGGTATGATCTTCCTGTACTGCACACAGAACAAAACTTTTCACTGTCCCTAGGTACATGTGACAATAATAAATCAGATCAAATCAATGGCACTGGACAGATTGATGCAATGTGGCCGCTCGCCTTATTCCAATTCCCTTGCAAACCTTCTCACTTTCCACCTACCATCACTCACCCTGTTCCCTCCCTCTCATTTGTAGCAAGCCTTGAGAAAGAGGGGCCTTGAGAAAGTAGGCGAGGCAATGAGCAGAGAGGCAGTCAGGGTTCAGAGGACAGAAGCAGGGAGACAGGCTGAGAGCTAGAAGGGAGGATGTGAAGGTCCAGAGATGGAAACAATGAACGGGAGAGTTGGGAATAGGAAGCAGCAAGTGTTGGAGGGAGGAAAGTGAGACAGAGAAGGAAGTGCCAAACAAGATCCATTGGAGAGGGGGATCAGTGAGTGCGAGGGTTGAGGAAGAATGTGGCAAAGCAATAGTTTGATTTTAAAAGACTAACCGCACACAATAGCTACACAGAAACACAAATGGAGGCTGCACTGAAATGGAATTGTACAATTGAAATGTATTTACTGTAGGAGATACCTGCATAGTGAATTAAAAACAACTCAGGCACAAAAAAATTGAGAGAGGAAAAGAGACAAAAAATGCAAATTAATTTTTAAAAATTGACATTTTTAAAATCTCCAACGACAGAGCAGAAATGAGATTTTACCTTTTCTAGGTCATAGAGTTTGTACGACCAGGTACCAAATTGATAAAAGATACTTGTACCATTTAGTTGCAGATTTAACATTCCGCAGAGAATTTAATTAATTGAAACATGAGGGGAGGCAAAGAGTGAGTTGTCATTTGTGTGAAGAAAATCATGGAGTGTCATAATAAATCAGTGGATTAGCCATGTGTGTTGGAGTTGCTGGCTCATGTGCATTCCAGCCACATGGATGTGTCATGAATGAGAACTGGTCTACAAACCACTATGTAGCTTGAAGTAGGTTCTCCTCCCTTTGGAGAGCCTCCCAATCTTTAGATAGTATCTTAGTTATGGGTTTCTGTGTTACTATGTGTGGCATTCTGTGTTCAGGTCATGACTGAAGTTCAAATGTTTATACCAACTAAATGAGCACCAGAGAACTGGTTCTTTCAGGCAGGTGTTGATTTTTCTGTGTGTTTTCACTTGTTCTAACATCCGTTCTCCTGGCAGGCTGTGATGACTTGATCAACTCCATCTTTGAATTCAGTAAAAGTTTGTGCATGTTGCATCTCGTGGAAGACGAGATTGCCCTGTTTTCTGCGTACGTGCTGATCTCTGCAGGTGAGCTCCATGTTACACGTCAATGTAAGGATCGGGAGCAGAGGTAGGCCCTGAGGCCTACATTACCATTCAATCATGGCCATTTGTGTTTAGAATTTCATGTTCCCATCTACTCCTGATGTCTCACGATTCCCCTGCCCTCCCTCAGCCTTAAAACCTATTCAGTGATAGCACCTCCATCACGTTCAGAGGGAGATAGTTTCTAAGGCAACACTCTCTGGGAGAGAAAAAGAAATTTCCTCAGCTCTATCATAGAATCACAGAATTGTACAGCACAGAAACAGACTTTTCAGTCTAACATGTCCATGCCGACCAGATATCCTAAATTACTTTAGTCCCCTTTGCCAGAATTTGGCCCATATCCCTCTGAATGCTTCCTATTCATGTACCCATCCAGGTGCCTTTATAATGTTGTAATTGTACCAGCCTCCACCACCTCCTCTGGTAACTCATTCCATACATGCACCACCCTGTGTGTGAAAATGTTGCTCCTCAGGTCCCTTTTAATTCTTTCCCCTCTCACCTTAAACCTATGCCTCTAGTTTTGGACTTGCCTACTCTGGGAAAACGACATTGGCTAGTCACCCTATCCATGCCCCTCATGATTTTCTAAACCTCTACAAGGTAACCCTTCAGCCTCTGACACTCCTCCTTGAAGGGTGACCACCTAATTTTCCCTTCTCACCCACAAGAGGAAACATAATTTCAATATCCACCTTGTCAGGACCATTCAGGATCTTATACCCTTCAATCAAGTCACCCCTTGCTCTTCTAAACACCAGTGGAAACAAGCCCAGTTTGTCCAACCTTTCCTCATAAGACAACCCACTCATTCCAAGAATTCTGGGTGGCACGGTGGCTCAGTGGTTAGCACTGCTGCCTCTCAGCTCCAGGGACCCGGGTTTGATTCCATCCTCGGGTGACTGTCTGTGTGGGGTTTGCACATTCTCCCTGTGTCTGCATGGGTTTCCTCTGGGTGTTCCTGTTCCCTCCCACAGTCCAAAGATGTGCAGGTTAAGGTGGATTGGCCATGCTAAATTGCCCCATCAAGTCCAGGGATGTGCAAATGTAGGTGGGGAAATGCAGGGTTATAGGATTGGGGATAACAAGGTGTAGAGCTGGATGAACACAGCAGGCCAAGCAGCATCAGAGGAGCAGGAAGGCTGACAGTTTGGGCCTAGACCCTTCTTCAGAAATGAAATGTTCAGAAATGTTATCTCAGATTCTCCAGCATCGGCAGTTCCTACTATCGCTTATAGGATTGAGGGATGGGTCTGGGTGGGGATGCTCTCTGGAGATTCAGTGTGGACCTGTTGGGCTGAATGGCCTGTTTCCACACTGTGGGGATTCCATGAATCACTGTAGTAAACTTGCTTCTGATGTATTTAACAAGCTGTACATGCTGCTTGGCCTGCTGTGTTCATCCAGCTCTACACCTTGTTAGCTCAGATTCTCCAGCATCTGCAGTTCCTACTATCTCTGATGTATTTATATCTTTCTATAAATAAGGAAGCCAAAAATATACACAATATTCAAGTTGTGACCTCACCAATGCTCTGCATAAAATCCTTACTCTTTTTATATTCAGTTCTTTCATAGTAAAGGATAGTGTTTCATTCACCTTCTTAATTACTTGGTGTACCTGCACCCTAACTTTATGGGACTCATGCACAAGATCACCTATCTCCCTCTGCAGCTTGGAACTTTGAAGTTGTTCTCCATTTAAATAATACGCTGCTTTTTCCTTCTTCCTTTCTAAGTAAGCAACATCACATTGTCCCACATTATACTCCATCTGCCACTCACTCAAACATATCTGGCCGCAACCTCCTGGTGTTGTCTTCACAATCTACCCTGCTACCTTTGTTTGTGTCACCTGCAATAATTTAGTGTCATCTGCAAATTTTACCCTCACTTCCATCATCCATGTCACTCAGTTTTAAAGTTATATGTCATCTTGAGGCACTAGCACAGAACCCTGAGGGTTCTCAAACGTTACATCATACCAATCAAAAAGACTCCTATATGCGTGTATTCTGTTTTCTACCAGCCAGCCAATCTTCTATTCATGCTTGTATTTTATCCTTACACCATGAGCTTATACCTTCTGCAATAAATGTTTATACGGTACCTTGTGAAATGCTTCACAGATGCATCCACACCCTTTGTTCACCATGAATATTCCACCTTCAAAGAACTCCAATAAATTGGTTAAACATGATTTCCTTTTCACAAAACCATGCAGATTCTGTCCAATTACATCGGATTCTCTTAGTTCAAAACTATGACTTCCTTAATGATCGATTCTAACGTCATTCCCCAACAAACGACTACAGTAAGTCGTAAACTCTCATTCAATTACTTTGCTCCAGGCATTTCATCCTGTTACATCTCTGCCATCAATCCTCCTTCATGCTTTGTGCACAGTTCAGTGATTCAATTGATCTGTGTTTGCTATTTTGAGTCTGTTTATTATGGACGATCACCGTAATTGAATGATTAAATTTGGGTGTGGATTCAGAGTAAAGGTAAACAAATTGTGCAAAAGAGCTCAAAGCCTGGATGGGACATTTTGAAGCTCCGCACAGATGAATACGAGTGTTATAGTTGTACAGTTCTGATATGTCAAGTATGCAATTCTTTGCCAATTGTGAATTTTTGCAAGGTGCAATCCTGACCAGAGATTGGCAATGCCAATTCATGGCTATTCTGATCAATGAGCAGTCCTCTCAGTTACTGGAACATTTGGCAGTGCCATGAATTCTGTGCCTGATTCTCTGAAAACACAATCATTCTTGTGAGACCGATACACAAATTTATTAACCGGAACACCAGATACATCACCAACAGTGCCACACTTACACTCATTCCTCTCATTTTTCCTGTTTCTTCATTTGAAGTGGGCACATGGCAACATATAGACCTGTGGTTCCTTGTTTTTTGACACAAATATTGACCGTGGTAAGATCGACAACTCCCATCTTTAAAGTAACCAATCGTTTAAGTGGAAGGCAGTGGTATAGTGAGTGAGTAAACTAGAGTAACTAGATTAATGTCCTGGGAGCGGGGGTTCAAATCCTACCTAAGCAGATGGTGAAATTTGAACTCAGTAAAAAGCTAACCCAATATTGTGTGTATAAACACTGTTGATCGATGTTTAAAAGTCCCAACTTGTGCTTTAGGGAAGGAAATCTGCTGTCCTTACCCAGTCTGACCTACATGTGACAGTAATGTGGTTCACTCTTAACAATAAATGCTGACCCAGCCAGCAAAACCATAAATGAATGAATAAAAAATTCCTAGGAATTTTACAAGGAACTTAGCCATAGAGATAGTAGTTAATCAAAAGCTTTGTTAGAGATATAGGTTTCACACTGTATCTTAAAGGAGGGAACAGAGGTAGAGAGTTAGTGAGGTTTCGCAAGTGAACTCCAAAACTTAAGGCCCATGTTGCTGAAGGCACCAATTGCAGAAACTGATGAAAATTGAGGGACTAGAATTAGAGATGCCCAGAGATCTTGCCAAGTTCTGTGGGGTGGATAAAGTTACAGAGCTGGACAGAGCCAGGGCCATGGAACGATTTAAAATAAAGATGAGAGTTTTAAAATTAATGTGTTCCTTGACTGGGAAAGGACAGCAGAGTGTGACTGCAGCACTGGTTGTTCAAATAAGCAGCATTGAAAGTGGAGAATTTGGTGCAAGTGGGAGCTCGGCACAGAGGGAGAGAAGCTGAATTCTGAGCTTTTTTTAAAAACGTTATTTCCTGTCGTTCGTCTGTATTTTGTTTTGGTCTCTTTAAGCTAGAAAGGTGCAACTCACTGTTACTTTACAAAATTAATTACTTGAACAAGCCAAACTCATTAATTCATAACATAATTGACTTAATTTAAACAAATAACAAATTAATAAGCTGAGTAAATAAACATGGCTAGACAGATATAGTGATGTGTTGTGTCTGTAGTATAAGGGATGCTGTGTAGGCCTGGATAACTCTATCTGTAGAGGCAAAAAAACTGCAGATGTTGGAATCCAAGGTATATAAACAGGAGGCTGGAAGAACATAGCAGGCCAGGCAGCATCTGGAGGAAAGGAGCAGTCAATGTTTTGGGTATTACCCCTCTTCAGGGCTGGATGTGGGGGTCAGAGGAGCTGCAGATAAAGAGGCAGGTGTAAGGGGTGGAGATGGAATGGTGGTGATAGGTGGTCACTGGTGGTAGGTATGACCTGGTTGGTTGATGGGAGGATGAATCCGGACAGAAGGTGGAATGGACAGGAGGAGGTGGGGCTGGAAGGGGAGGCAGGGAATGATGACAAGGTTATTTGAAATTGGAGAACTCAGTGTTGATTTGCATCACCACCATTCTGCCTTCACCCCATCCCCCCCATGCCCCCGCCCACCCTTTTTCTGCAGCTCCCCCTACCCCTACATCCAGTCCTGACGAAGGGTTGACTGCTCCTTTCCTCCAGATGCTGCCTGGCTCGCTGTGTTCTCCCAGCCTCCTGTTTGTCTACTCTATTTGTGGTATCTGCAGCTCGAACAATACCAGCTCAGAGTTGTTGACTGACGCTACTTGCATCAGGCAGAGGGAGAACTACCTGGACATTTTATTCAAGGGGGCAGTCACTCCTTGGGTTAAGCAGAACTTTTGAGTTAGACAATGGTCAGGGAGTTCAAGGTGTGAATGTGAGTCAAGCAGATAAGGGCATCTAAAACATAGTGATCGTAGAATCCCTACAGTGTGGAAACAGGCCATTCAGCCCATCAAGTCCACACCAACCTACCTCGATCCAGCACTCCCTATCCCTGTAACTCTGTATTTCCCATGGCTAATCCACCCAGCTTGCACATCCTTGGACAATATGGGGCAATTTAGCATGGCCACGCCACCTAACCTGCACATCTTTGGACTGTGGGAGGAAACCTGAGCACCCAGAGGAAACCTGAGCACCCAGAGGAAACCCATACAGACACAGGGAGAACGTGCAAACTCCACACAGATGTTCGCGCAAGGGTGGAATCAAACCGAGGTCCCTGGCACTGTGAGGCACTAATGCTAACCACTGAGCCATGGAGGAGCCCTGGCCAACAGGTGGGAGGAGTGAACACTCTGCATGGATGAGAATAAGAACTGTAGACTGGGTGAGCAAACTGATCAAGGTGCAGGAAGCCATTCAAGTGGAGCGAGTGAAAACGTACCCAGTCAACATGACGAGAGTATATTGAGTTGAATGGATGCAGTTCTCTCCAGCCATGATCAGAGCTTCAAAAGCTACCTTATTGTCCCTTGCAAGGGTTAAAGATTCATCCTTGTAGCTCACAAACAGGATGGCATTCTGACAAAGGTAACCAAAGAGATCGGGGCTGTAAAGCGGCAGGAACATACGGGAAGAGCAGATTGCTCTGATGTGAATTTGGAGTGGAAATGGGAGGATCCAATTGACATGGTCCACATAGGAGACTGTGACACTCCGAATGATATTTTGCTGAGAGAATTTGAGGATTAGTGTCCAAAATTAAAAGCAACACCTCAAACGTTTCCTGAGCTATGTGCACAGTGCAAGGGTAGACGGATTTACTAGTTAGGTGTGTGGGTGAAGGAAGGCTGTGGAAGATAGGTGTCAGTACTGGGGAAAGATTGACAGGTACCTTTGGGAGATGTTAGAGGAAGTTGATATAGTCAAGCTTGTCACAGAAGTAGGCAATACAGTGGCTCAGTGGTTAGCACTGCTACCTCACAGCGCTATGGACTTGGGTTCAATTCCAGCCTTGGGTGACTGTCTGTGTGAAGTTTGCATGTTCTCCCTGTATCTGCGTGGGTTTCCTCCCACAGCCTGAAGATGTGTAGGTTAGATGGATTGGACATGCTAAATTGTCCAGGGATGCACAGGCAAGGTGGGTTAGCTGTGGAAAATGCAGGCTTATGGGGAGGGGCTGGGCTTGAATGGGTTGCTCTTTGGAAGACTGAATGGACTATTTCTGCACTCTGTGGGTTCTATGTCAAGAAGGATGAGAGCAAATGTGACCATGTAGTCACATAGGATGTAATTTTGATGGAAGCTTTTTTTGGGCCTATGCTAAGGGCAACGACAGGTTCGTGTTGCTTATAGAGATTGCATGTGGACTGAGTACAAACTGGGTGTTATGTAACAGTTGGGTACAGTAAAAGTTTTACATCCCCTGTGGGAATGCACTGGTGAGGGATGTGCAGAGATTAAATGTTAGATCCAAGTTAGGGATGGACTAGGCCCAGATTGGGTGTTAATACAGACTGGATAGGGACTCTATTTGGATTACATACAGATTGGACATAAGGTATGGTTCATCTATGTATAGGCTGGGTGCAGAGTGTGCCTAAGGTACAGGAAGGCAATGCACTGTGACCACACTGGAGTTTTGTTATGGATTTGATGCAGCCTGGATGTTACATATGGGCACGATGTAGGCCCAATGCCTTTTTTTTTATTAATTCATGGGATGTGGACATCATGGACTGGCCGGCATTTACTGCTTGTCTCTAGTTGCCCTTGATTTCATAGCATTTGGTGCAATGGAGTGGCTTTCTACCCCATTTCAGTAAAGAGACAACCACGTTGTTGTGGGTCTGGAGTCACATGTAGGCCAGACCAGGTAAAGATGGCAGTTTCTTTCCCGAAAGGGCATCAGTGAACCAGACAGAAAAAAAAAGCGATGGTTTCATGGTTAGTGGTAGACTCTTAATTCCAGACCTTCTTTTTCATTGAATTCAAATTCCACCACTTGCAGTGACAGGATTTGAACCCAGGTCACCAGAACACAAGCTAAATTTCTGGATTAATGGTCTAGAGATAATACACCAAGGCCATCACTCCCCCTGTAACAAATCTTGAGTAATGCTGGGGAGCCAGGCACTAGCTGCTTGTTTATTAAGGACCGGTGCTGTGTATTAGGTATAGTATCACTGCCAGTTTCATGAGGATGCTGGCTGTGGGCTAATATCTGGGTGCTAACTGAGTTTCCGAGCACAGACTGGGGTATCCCTAGGAAATGGGAATCACCACTACTGCTTCCTCAATCTCCCGCTGTGTTGTGTGTCAGGACGTGCTCTGTGTGATCACTCAGCGACAGCAACTTGTGAAAATAACTCATGAGAAGCCGCCGGGTCACCGCTGTGTTCATTATGTCGTTGCTTCCCCACCCAGATCGTCTGTGGCTTCAGGAGAAAATAAAAGTTGAAAAACTGCAACAGAGGATTCAATTAACACTCCAGCATATTTTGCAGAAACATCACAGAGAGGATGGCATTCTGACAAAGGTAACTAAAGAGTTCAGGGCTGGAACACGGCAGGGACATGAAGGAAGAGCAGGGGAGCGGGATCGCTAGATTGCTCTGGTGTGGATTCAATGGGCCGAATGGCTTCCTTCTGTTCTTCAATTAAATGATTCACTTTCAGAACACTGTTCACTCAGGGTCACACAGAGACATAGAGATATACAGCACGGAAACAGACCCTTCAGACCAACACATCCATGCCGACCAGATATCCTAAATTAATCTAGTCCCAGTTGCCAGCATTTAGCCCATATCCCTCTAAACCCTTCCCATTCATTTACCCATCCAGATGCCTTTTAAATGTTGTAATTGTACCAGCCTCCACCACTTCCTCTGGCAGCTCATTCCATACATGCACCACCCTCTGCGTAAAAATGTTCACCCATTAGGTCTCTTTTAAATCTTTCCCCTCTCGCCTTAAACCTATGCCCTCTAGTTTTGGACTCCCCTATCCTGGGGAAAAGACCTTGGCTATTCACTCTATCTATGCCCCTCATGATTTTATAAACCTCTATAAGGTCACCCCTCAGCCTCTGACACTCCAGGGAAAATAACACCAGCCTTTTCAGCCTCTCCCTACAAGTCAAACGCTCCAATCCTGGCCATATCTTTGTAAATCTTTTCTGAATTCTTCCAAGTTTCACAGCATCCTTCCTATAGCAGGGAGACCAGAACTGCACGCAGTTTCCCAAAAGTGGCCTAACGAATGTCCTGTACAGTGGCAACACGACCTCCCAACTCCTATACTCAATGCAATGAACAATATCTTAAAACTTGGACACAGTGAACATCAAGAATAGTATAGATAGCTGCTGTAATTGTATGTTGCTGTCCCACCAGGTCCATGAGGACCGTAAGAACGAGTTCCATACCTCACACCTAGCTCAATAAATCGTATAATTATAGAAAGAGCCTTTCATCCCAAGGAGCTTATGTCAGTCAGGTCATACAGCACAGACCCTTCGGTCCAACCAGTCCATGCCAAACACATTGCCAAACCAAACTAGTCTCACCTGCCTGCTCCTGGCCCATATCCCTCCGAACCTTTCCTATTCATGCACGTATCCAAATGTCTTTTAAACATTGTATTTGTACTTGCATCCACTATTTCCTGTGGAAGTTCATTCCACATACGAACCACCCTGTGTGTAAAAAATTTACCCTTCGTGTCTTTTTTAAATCTCTCTCCTCTCACCTTAAAATGTGTCCCCTAACCTGGAAATCCCCTACCCTAGGGAAAAGACAATTAGCATTAACTCTATCTATACCAACCCACTGCCTTTTCACCAGAAACCAGCAATGTTTTCCTCTTCACATATTCATCTAATTCCTTTTTAAATGTAACAATTAAATCTGTATGGAGACAAGTGATGGGGACCAGCCCTTGGTCCTATGAGGAGGATCAGTGAGAATCCTTCTGGAGTTTTATTTGCGTTTGTCTGTTGCCAGCTTTCAAAATGTTTGCTAATTGTTTTTACCTTGTTCTTCTTCCTTTTCCCAGCTGTTATCTAAAGTGTCTACATTACGAACACTGTGTAATCGACACATTGAGAAGCTGTCCTCATTCAAAGCAATACACCCGGACATTGTGCGGGTCCATTTCCCTCCGTTGTATAAGGAGCTGTTCAGCTCCGAGTTTGAGCAGATGATGCCAACTGATGGTTAAGTATTGTCATCAGAGGAGCTCGGAACCCCAGAAGTACCTGCATCAAACAGTTGAAGATATTTTGCATTTTTCCAACGCTGCACTGCAGTGGCCGTGCACAGCCCAGGAGATTAACAAAAACAACAAATTTCTTGGGCGGGGTGTTTAATGGGATGGGGCAGGGGGTGAATTAATATTAGTTTCTTCGTGAAAGTTGAACTTGTTTTTCTCATGCATTTAGTTTGTGTAGAGCACAGCGCACAGTGACATTATAATGCTGAGAAGCTAATTTAGAGCAAATCTTTTACAGGGTATATAGAGTAAATACAGTGAACGTAACAGTTATTATCAGTATATCATTTTAAACTTGATGTGCTGTGAGACGAAATATGAATCTGCAATTTAAGCACTTTTTTCCCGATTTGTACATGATATGTTGTATTTATTAGTTCTGTTAATAGGACGTGCACAAGAAATACAAGTTTAACAGTTGAGTATATGGAGGGAGGTTCGGAGTTTTAGATGCTGCTGTTAGGTTGATGTTTGTTTATAGTAGGAATGCCCACATACTTAGTTTGATTTACAAACACAATCCAATTTCCATAGTCTGTGCGGCTGATTAATGTGTCATTGATTCAGATTAAGAATGGTACGGTGAAGGGTAATGGAATCAAAATGATTTATAAAATATGAAGCCTTGTCTGGACCACTTTAGAGAGAGTTCTATTTTTATAACCCTGGTATGAATATTAGGAAGCACTTAAAATATTCCTGCAATAAAAGAGACGTGATTTGTGCAAGACAATGTTTTTTGTAAGGCAAGCCAACAATAGAAAGAAGTGTTATTTTCTAAGAGCTTGGTGTTATTTTCTTGTGAGAATATGTCTGGTCTAGTGAAATCTTTTTGATTAATGTGCCACAGTGTAAGTGTGTTTCTGCTAATGAGCAACACAAGTCTTTTTAATCTTGAAATGGTGGTTTCCTTGTGAAACAACATTCCAAAAGAAACGCAAAAATGTAGAAACGTCTAAAGTAAGTGTTTGTGTGCGCATGCGTGTATGTGTCTGTGTGTGTGTGTGAATGATCAGTCTGTATCACTGTTGCTTTTTGCACATTAACTTCATTCCTTGGTAGTGCAATATGTACAAAGGGTACTTGCTAGTGTACATTTAACCCCTCAGGGAAGAAAAAAAAAACGTGTTTGTACAGTCTCTTATTCTGCTAAGGGCTGTTGAGTAGATCATTTTGTGTGTCTGTGTGTGAGGCAGTCAGTCTGGCTCTAATCCTGGAGTGAGTCTGGATTCAGGAGTCAGGCCACTGTTTGTTTGAAATGCTCCAAAACATGTTGATTGTGCAACGCTCCTGGCAATTGCTGTTACTGTGAAAGACAATCCAGAATTCTGATTAAATGATAAGAATCCTAGGAAGAAAATCTTGAAGGTCCGACAGAAATCAGATAGAGGGTTTGAACTTATTTTAGCTCAGGGATAATTTAGATTATAATGAAGGTGTGGAATGGTCAGTATTTCTTGTAACAGTAAACACAGCAAAGGTATTCAGGCCCTTAGAAGTTGCAAACTGAATCAACAGTAATATTGCCCACCTTAACTTTTGGAGGCAATTTATTGGGCAGTGTCTGGAAGCCACTAGAGTTATTACAGACAGTTGCAATTTTGTTTTTTATAGAGGGAGAGCTGTTAGCGAAGGCTTCTATGGAATATCGAGTGAATCCTAGATTTACAATCTTGGCAATCAAAGCACTTGATCTGCTGTTTTAACCATTTACTGATGCATGTTAAATGAGAGCACATGTAGGTCTCTATCTCCCTCACGTTCACCAACACTACACCAGCTCAAACAGCATTCTGGTATTTTCCATCTCCCTGAGCCCAGGAAACCGATGAAATGGGCATTTCCAAATTGGGATGGAGTGCAGTACAAGATCCAGTCTGGCACTTGGGAAAGGAGGGAAGAGTTGAATCAGTGTGGAGAATCAATTTGCATCTTGGATCCATCTGTTACCCCCTCCCAGGACAGAGGAACCAGATCCCGGAGATAAATATAATTGATTAACAAGTAGACAACAGCCCCTGTAGAAAAGGAGTCCAGTCACCATCTTCAACTCTATCTCCAAAGTGGATTGAGCAAGTGTGGGCCGCATGGTATTAGAGCTGTTTATCACCAAAGTACAGGTCTCAGTTAGAGGAGGCACAGGCTGCAAATTCCCAGGAATTTGGATGAGACTTTATATCTGTTTATCAGAAGGGTCACCAGCTGTGCATCTCCAGAAGCTTTCCTGATTCCTCCAACCATTCTCTCCTTTGGATCCCCCCGTAACCCATCCATCCTTTGTCATTCCCCATACCCACTTGTTGTGGCCTGCTATTGTGGCCAACCCACATATCCTTCCTATCGGAGTCTGGACCTCTTGCTGCTACCCTTGGTCACCTTGACCCGGCACACCTACTGGGCATATGGCCCCGACGGCATACAGTGTCGAGTGAACGGGCTCTTCATTGCACAATTGGATGATCTGTCACTCGTAGAATCCTCTACAGTGTGGAAACAGGCCATTTGACCCATCAGGTCCACACCAATCCTCCGAAGAGCATCCCACCCAGACTCACCTCCTACACTATCCTGGTAACCTGCATCTCCCATGGCTAATCCATCAGACCTGCACATCCCTAGATACTACAGGACAATTTAGCACGGCCAATCCACCCTAACCTGCACATCTTTGGACTGTGGGAGGAAACCGGAGAACCCGGAGGAAACCCACGCAGACACAGGGAGAATGTGCAAACTCAAATCAACACGGACAGTTGCCCGACGGTGGAATCGAATGTGGATCCCTGGCGCTGTGAGGCAGCAGTGCTGACCACTGAGCCACAATGCCACCCCACTCGGCACTTAACCTCATGTCTAATATTTTTTGTAACAGTCCCATTCTTCTATCCATCTACAAAAGTTTTTTTGTTCCTTCAACTGCCTACAGCAGCTCACAGCGAATAGTATTTAATTCCTGAATCCTACAAAGCAATCTGGAACTTTGGCAACCCACCATTCATTAAAAGCCGTATTCTTTTAATTACTGTTTCTGTTTCTCTGCTATTCCTGGGGCTTTAGCTCAATTTCCTGGCCCATTAGGTTATTGTGACTGTGTGTAACTATGAGTGATCGACACAAGTCCAAGCCTGCAGTTCAAAGTTTGCCCCTCCAGCTTCCCAAAAGTGACCTGCCTACCCTAATAAGAAGAGGTTCTTGATGACGGCAGTCCATCTTGTCATGGGTTGAACAGAATTCTGCTCCACAAAAAACACTGGAGACTAGACCATGCGATTTATTCAAGACAGAGTTAGTTGGAATTTTGATCAATGAGAATTAGCGAGGGCAGAAAAGAGCATGGGGTTGAGACCACAACTAAATCAACCATGACCTTATTGACTGGGGAAGCAGCCTCAAAGGAAGGATTGGCCTACTCCAGCCCTAAGTCCTGTGTTTCCATAGTAACCAGAGAGTCCAGCGCCTTTAACACGGGCCAGGAAAGGAAGGAACAGCTGAGAAAAATACTGCAAGCAAACATAGGCTTATACAGACCATTGGTCCAACCAGTCCATGCTGACCATGTTCCCAAACTAAACTAGTCCCACATGCCTGTGCTTGGTCTATATTCCTCCAAACTTTTCCTATTCATGTGCTTATCTAAATGCCTTTTAAACATTGTAACTGTACCCACATCCACCACTTCCTCTAGACGTTCTTTCCACACACGAACCACTCTTTGTTAAAAAAAAAAGTTGCCCCCATGTCTTTTTTAAATCTTTTTCCTCTCACCTTAAATATATGCCCCCTAGTTTTGAACTCCCCCACCTTAGGGAAAGACCATTGCTATTCATCTTATTTATACACCTCATGATTTTACAAACCTCTATAAGGTCACCCTTCAACTTCCTACGCTGCTGTGACAAAGATCCCAGCCTATCCAGGCTGTCCTTACAACTCAAACCTCATTCCCGGCAACATAGTGGTAAATCTCCTCTGAATGCTGTCCAATTTGAGAATATCCTTCCTGTAACAGGGAGACCAGAACTGGACACAGTACTCAAGAAGAGACCTCACCAACGTCCTGTACAACCTAAACATAACGTCCCAACTCAAAGATCTGAGCAATGAAGGCAAGCGTGCTAAATGCCTTCTTAACCCCCCTATCTATATTTGACGCAAATTTCACAGAAATATGTACCCGAGCCCCGAGGTCTCTATGTTCTACAACACTATCCAAGACCCTACTTTAATATATAAGTCCTGCCCTTGTTTGCTTTACCAAGTAAACAGACAGCTAATAAGCAATTGGGCAAGCCTTCCCAGAGATATTTCTACATCCACATAAATCTTCTATACTCAACCCATTCCAGCAAGTGAGAATTCAATGCTGGGCATTCACTTTACTTCATGAGTTGAAGTCAATCTGTCCTTTGAATCTGCTTCCCCAGTCAACCCATCCTCATTCAGGAGAGGTGACAGGTGGAGGTTTAACCCGAGGGTCACCATGCCTCAGGCGAAGGGAGAGGTTGAGAAGGTAAGAGGTTGATGGTAACTTTAGCCGGCGATGGGAATTGAACCCATGCTATCACTTTGCATTGAAAGCCAGCCATCCAGCCAACTGAGCTAGCCATACATTAAAAACAAAATGCTGTAGACACACAAGGGCACCAGAATTAGGAACAGGAGTTGGCCATTTGGCCCCTGAAGCCTACCTTGGTGTGGTGTGGAAAATTGAAAAGGAAGGACGGCTTGCTTCTACCCCTCTTCCCCCATCGAAGAAGTCAGCAATGTACTGACAAATTCAGAACAAACCTGCCCCGCAGTCATAAAGCACGGCCCCCCAGTGGCAGGAAGTCCCACTGTATGGGGCTGGCAGCCAATCCGGCAGCAGATACTGCCAGGACCACAGGGAGGGCCATAAGGGAGGCCTGACGGGACTCCAGACCCTGGAATGGAAGGGGCATGAGGCAAGGGAGGGTTTTTCCAACATTGGGACATGGGTGGTTCAAAAAGCCATGTAGGCAGGAAGAAGGGGGAGGGACTATCTTCTGGGGAGGCATGCCCAGTGGGCAAAGAGCATCGTCCAAAGATAGAACCTGCCCCATCCTGCCACCATTTTAAAAGCAGCTGTCTCTTCCACTGGATTGGACTGGCCATGCCCATGTTTAGTGGAATGGTCGGTGTAAATCAGATGAAGTTTTAACAAGCTTAGGTAACCCTTCATTACTTATTTACATACAGGGGGCAGCTGTGGATTGTAGTGCTGTCCATAGGGGTATGAGACTGGGGGAATGGGTATGAAGGTCACCACCCAACCTATTTTACCCTCCAAGGGCTTGTACTATCCAATCCAAGGTCATGGCTATTCCAATTGTGGCCTCGCTTCAGGTTTCCTGCCTGCCCCCGCACCATTAGCCGTAACTCTCTTGTTGAGGGTGGCATGGTGGCTCAGTAGTTAGCAGTGCTGCCTCACAACGCCAGCCCAAGCCCACTTCCAGCCCTGGGTAACTGTGTGGAGTTTGCTTGTTCTCCCTGTGTTTGTGTTGGGTTCCGCCAGGTGTCCCGGTTTCCCCTCCCACAGCCCAGGTGTGGATAGGTGGATTGGCCCATGGTAATTTGCCCCATGGTGTCTAGAGGTGGGCAGGTTTTGCCATGCTAAATGCAGGGTTACAGGGATGGAGGGGTGTGGGTCCGAGTGGGATGCTCTTAGCAGAGCTGGTATGGACTTGATGGGTAGAATGGCCTGTATCCGCACTGTAGGGATTCTATGATTCCATGACCAGTCATCCACCTTATCCACCGTAAATATTCGGTTACCAGGCCTCCAGTGCTTTCTGTGGAAGAGACTTTCGCAGCCTACTGATCCTCTGAGAGAAACGTTTTTCTCCTCATCTCAGTTTTAAAGACCCTCATTTTAAAACTGTGTCTAGAGTCTTGAACTCCCCAACAAGTAAAACATCATCTCAGTATCCATTAAGGAGACTAAAATTGTAGACAGTACTCCAAATATGGTCTTGTCGAGGCCAATTCTAACAACACTTCCCTATTTTTATATTTAATTGCCTGGTAATGAATACCAATATCCTATTTGTCTTACTCATCACTTGACGTATCTAGAATCGTAGAATCCCTAAAGTGTGGAAGCAAGCCATTCAGCCCATTAAGTCCACACGCAATTTAGCCTGGCCAATCCACCTGTGGGAGGAAACCAGAGCACCCAGAGGAAACCCACGCAGACACAAGGAGAACGTGCAAACTCCACACAGAGAGTTGCTCTTGGTGCTGTGAGGCACTAACCACTGATCCACCGTGCCACCCTATCTGCCTGCGGATTTTTGTTTTAATGTACCAGCATAGTCAGACCCTCTGCACCATAGACTTCTACAGATACACAACAGGTCAGTTAGTATCTGTAAACAGTAAAGATTTCAATCCGAGCTGGCGTTAACCTTGTCCAGACAAAAAAAGAGGAACAATAAGCAACAACATTACCAGCTTCCCATCATTGTGACAAAAGAGTCCATTCAGCCCGTCACTTTCTCAGTCCTGTTCCTGTACAATGCCAGTGCCCTTGTTTAGCAAATTAAGTATTCGGGAGGTGATGGCCTAATGGTATTATTGCTGGATTGTTAATCTAGAGACCCTTGTAATGTTTTGAGGATCTGAGTTCAAATCCTGCCACGGCAGATGGTCAAATTTGAATTCAATAAGAGTTGAATGATGACTGTGAATCCATTGTTTGTGGGGAAAAACCCCCATCTGGTTCACTGATGTCCTTTAGGGAAGGAAACTGCCATCTTTACCTGGTCTGGCCTACATGTGACTCCAGACCCACAGCAATGTGGTTGACTCTTAACTGCCCTCTGGGCAATAAATGCTGGCCTAATGGTGCCCTCATCCCGTGAGTGAATAAAAAAAAAATCACAAACCTCTGTTTCCCTCTCCACAGATGCTGCCCAACTTAATGAGTATTTCCAGAGCTTTTTAATTCTTATTACTTGTTTCACATTTTGATTGATTATTTGTTTTCCCTCCTCAAAAAAAACAGAACTTCTCAAAAATAATAATTTCATTCAGTAGTAAATTGCTAACTGGTTTCTGATAATTGCTGTCAAATGATGCAAATCAACAGCTGAAATTATTCTGCCTCCTTTGCAGAATGCTGTCCTGAAGAATGGCAGGATGCCAATGTAAGGTAATGCCATGTTACTGACTTTAAAAGAAATAATGTATCTGAGATCTGTTTAGTCTTGAATGATGTGGCACAGTGGTATGCCCCTATTTCTGGACCAGGAATGCAGGGTTCAAATGCCACCTGCTCCAGAGGTGTGTAATAACATCCCTGAGCAGGCTGATGATAAAATATCTACAGCTATCTAGGATGGGGCTCTTGTGGCACAGGGGTAGTGTATCTACCTCTAGACTGGGAGGACAGGGTTCAAGCCCCATCTGCTCCAGAAGTGTGTAATAACGTAATAAAGCAATTCAATGAGAGTAGAGCTTATGTGGTACCACCATATCTCAGAGCTAGGAAGCCTGGGTTCAAGTCCCATC